TAAACGCGAAACCTCCACGCAAGACGAAGAAGAAGAAGACGAAACAAGAAGAAAAGAAACGTTGTATCTACCCTGTAAACATTTTCATATTATATTACATTATATTATATATATATATATAATATAATGTAATATAATATGAAAATGTTTACAGGGTAGATACAACGTTTCTTTTCTTCTTGTTTCGTCTTCTTCTTCTTCGTCTTGCGTGGAGGTTTCGCGTTTAATTTCTGCGGTGTCTTAATAAATCGGTATTTGTTTCTTCTTCTTAGCTCAGTTTTTTTTCTTCATCTTCCTCTTGCTCTGTATTCCACATTATTTTTCATGTCGGTTGAGCTCGCGTTATGCGATCATCGAACAAGAGATCGTTCAAGCTTTCGTACGTCCAGTCTTGATTCTTGATACGAATCGGCATCGATTCTTGTCGGATGCTCGCATAAATAATCGCTTAACGGGCATATTTTATACATCAGTCGTAATTATAGTATATTTTTTTTTATCTGAACACAATGTTTTTTACACATGACTTTAGGAAACTTATGTTTATTTCTTAATGTCACCGTTCCACCGTTCATGTCTCAAACGACGCTGTTCTACAAAATATGGGTTTCAGTTCTCTATAAATTTTTAAACGAAAATTAATTTACTTCAAGATATATTGCATTATTCTGGCCTTCGCGACACGGGTAAGTGTTATAACGAAAGATCGGTACTTATCGGCTCTAACTTATTACGATAGTAATTCGTTTATGCCTACTCGTTTTTATTTATCTAAATGTTTGGAAGGATTAAAAAAAAAATTAATTCAGAAAGGTAAGATCAGAATTTTTTACGATCATCATTCTAACTGCTATATTCGTGAGTTAAGTTTTAAAACCGACATCGTTTGGAACATGAATCAGGGATCGGTCCTTATACTATTTTAAATGTACGTTAACAACTCTTGTTGCTTGTTTTTCTTGCTAGATTGGCATAAATATTCTACAGCCCTTTTTGCGACAATTGTTGTTACTGTATGGTTGCTGTTGCGTGGACAAAGTTCTTTTCCAGGGGTGCGGAGAGGGTGTGTGGTGGTATACAAAAACTATATGTATAAGAAAAACGTATGTTAACATACGAATGGAAAAATACGAAAATATCGTTCAAACGTATTTTTATGTAGGTATTATCCTCTTTGTAAAAAGTTTTTTTTACATACAGAGTGAGCCAATAAAAACTTAATCGTCCGAAATGATTCGTCGTTTATCGAAGTCATCGACATAAGTAGATTCATCGTAGCTACGTAACAATTTAATCGCATAAATGTTTGGTTGAAACGAGTGCGTTTGGTGTACCTCTTTTCATCTCAGGCATTCATCCCTTTTCGTTCGAACGTTTAATAAGTTTGACATATAATGAATTATTTCAGACGATCTTTTTATCGTTTCATCCTGCACACACGTTTACGTTACTGTATGAAAAATTAATTGGCGCGCTTTTGAAATCAACTCTATTGTTTGTATGTTTATATAAATTACATTTCTTTTCAACCGGAATACCTTTTCCAATTTTTTTCTCCTTAACACGACGTACTCTTCAATTTTTTACCGATTCACTCTTTTCCTCTTTCAAATAATCGACGATAGTAGTTCTCTAGGGTACATTAGTTTTCGTTTGAGTTAAAAAATTGCGATTTAAATAAGTAACAAAACGATCTCCCTGTCATCGTCAATATCGAACGAATTACAGTTTTCACCTTCCCAACTTAATTCGTTAACACGTATTCACAACTAATCGTCCTCGCAAATAAGGTGACGATTCATTCACCGGTTTTTATAATCAAGAGAATCGTTTAAACGACTAACGGATGATCTTGGTTTATTGTTCGGTTCGCTTATCGCGATCACCAAGCGTGTCAATTAAATTCGCTGACTAGGGATTCTTCATAATCTTATTTAGTTCCAAGTCAGAAAGGTCGGGCAGGTGTTGCGCACGTGAATAAATCGAAGACGATGAAAAATGATAAATCCGAGATTGGCAAGTATGAAAATATATGTACAAACGGATGACAACGACGCTCAGTTGACACGCTTGATGAACAGGCTCGATGACCACTACGAAGTACGCATTAGAATTTACGCAAAGTATTGCAAAAAAAATTTTTGTTCAATAGTCAATTCTCGTTTATTCCACTTAAAAACAAAAAAATGTTCGTTATACCTTCCTTTCATTGTTTTCTGTTTTAAATGTTAAACACAAGCAATGATCGTCGTTACACATTATATATAGGGCGAAGTAAAAATATTCTACCGTACAAATTTGTTTTCTTCTCCAGGCCTAGGATGATCTACATCGATTTTTCAGTTGCAAACATTCTTTTTCGCTCGAAATATGCGGAACTGCACTCAAGCAGTTTATCTAAAAACGAGACACGATATATACTCAAATTGGTTCAACATAAATCCCGTGACTCTCGATTCTCGCACGATAGAACGAAGAAGTAGCGTGACGCATTTTTAATTAAAAAGAAAAATATGTTTAACACCCACGCACACACGCATGCACGCACGTACACACGAATCTTTCGAAAGAAAATGATGCTTAAAAACCATTTTTTCCGCCGCTCGTTACAATTTCGGTTGATACAGGTGTAAGTTTGAGCCCCTCTTTCTTTTCATCGTGTAAATACCTTATCGTTTAATTAAAAAGAACGGGAAAATACGCGTTAAAAATACGTGTGAGCCGATACAAGAAGCTGTGGTACGTCTGGTCTCTTAAATATATTCAAGTGTACCCTATACATTTCGTTCCTTCTATATAAAATAATACAAAAAAACGGCCAATAAAATACTTTTATATTCTGTTTAAAATAAAAAACCTGACTTCTTTTTTTTTCATTCACATATACGCGACGAATTAAATACGGATACATGGAAAATATATATTATGTATTGAGAATAGTTTTTCTGTTAATAATTATTGAAACTTTTCGTTTTATCTCATCGATATTGACGCGATCCGTGTTTCCCTAGTAATTCGCATTCTGGCATCGAACTTGGCGATTTCCATGGATTCTTCATAATCTTATTTAGTTCCAAGTCAGAAAGGTCGGGCAGGTGTTGCGCACGTGAATAAATCGAAGACGATGAAAAATGATAAATCCGAGATTGGCAAGTATGAAAATATATGTACAAACGGATGACAACGACGCTCAGTTGACACGCTTGATGAACAGGCTCGATGACCACTACGAAGTACGCATTAGAATTTACGCAAAGTATTGCAAAAAAAATTTTTGTTCAATAGTCAATTCTCGTTTATTCCACTTAAAAACAAAAAAATGTTCGTTATACCTTCCTTTCATTGTTTTCTGTTTTAAATGTTAAACACAAGCAATGATCGTCGTTACACATTATATATAGGGCGAAGTAAAAATATTCTACCGTACAAATTTGTTTTCTTCTCCAGGCCTAGGATGATCTACATCGATTTTTCAGTTGCAAACATTCTTTTTCGCTCGAAATATGCGGAACTGCACTCAAGCAGTTTATCTAAAAACGAGACACGATATATACTCAAATTGGTTCAACATAAATCCCGTGACTCTCGATTCTCGCACGATAGAACGAAGAAGTAGCGTGACGCATTTTTAATTAAAAAGAAAAATATGTTTAACACCCACGCACACACGCATGCACGCACGTACACACGAATCTTTCGAAAGAAAATGATGCTTAAAAACCATTTTTTCCGCCGCTCGTTACAATTTCGGTTGATACAGGTGTAAGTTTGAGCCCCTCTTTCTTTTCATCGTGTAAATACCTTATCGTTTAATTAAAAAGAACGGGAAAATACGCGTTAAAAATACGTGTGAGCCGATACAAGAAGCTGTGGTACGTCTGGTCTCTTAAATATATTCAAGTGTACCCTATACATTTCGTTCCTTCTATATAAAATAATACAAAAAAACGGCCAATAAAATACTTTTATATTCTGTTTAAAATAAAAAACCTGACTTCTTTTTTTTTCATTCACATATACGCGACGAATTAAATACGGATACATGGAAAATATATATTATGTATTGAGAATAGTTTTTCTGTTAATAATTATTGAAACTTTTCGTTTTATCTCATCGATATTGACGCGATCCGTGTTTCCCTAGTAATTCGCATTCTGGCATCGAACTTGGCGATTTCCAAGCTGATCTGAATGGGACAAGAACGTTTATACACCGATCGTTCGAAGTTTTATATGATCATTTTTTAAAATCAAAGTATGTAGTGTCAACACTTTAAACAGCGAGATTGTAATTCTAGGACGCAATGATTTAGTAAGGAAAAGTAAAGCGAAGGAATAGTAGATATCATTTCCAAACGTATACAGTAAACATCTTTTTTTATATATATATACTTTTGACGCATGTAACTTTAAATAATTTTGAATCGGTGTTCGAGAAATGGGAAACAGCAGCTCGTAATGCCAGAATAAACGATACAGCAACTTGTGCAATGCAAATATATAAATATGTCGTATCGGTATGAAAGTGAAACGGCAAAAAACAATCACCAACCGCCACATCGGAAAACGTATTTAAGTTTTAATACGAGTTTTACGCGCGTTTATTATAAAGTATCTAGGTTTTTCTTTCGTTTATGATTAATATCGTTCTTGATCAATCCTTACGTGTATACTGCCTTTTTTTTTATTCACTTGTAACTTTCTTATTTACTGTCTTCTTGTATAAATATGTATCGTTTGTTTGTTTGTTGCGGTTGTCGTTTGTTGAATAGAATGATGCAAACCCCTCCCTTCGTTTATCTCGAAAAAGTCCATTCTTTTTTTTTCTTCGGTCATCGACGTTTGTAACGTCTTCCTTTTTCATTTCTTATTCATCAAAGTAAATAAAAGAGTCGAGTTTACAATGTCAGTGTCTCTTCACACTCTCTCACTCTCACTCTCTCTCCCCGTTTCTTACATTCTCTCTCATTCTCACTCTCACTCGTCCATTTTAAAAGCTAATGTTCCTAAAGCTGCGCTCTTATCGTTTTTCTTTTTCCTCTTCTGCTTTGTTTTTATCTATGTATATTGTACAAATAACTAGCATTCGACGCGACTGTTTTATTTCTTTTTTTCTTCTTCATCGTATTTTGCTAGCAAATTACTTGCTAAAACCACGATTCTTACATTCTCGTGTACATCGGTGTGTATAAAACTCTATTTTTTTTTTATTTATTTGGAGTATATGCTTACACTGGTAAATTCTTACTTCTCCTCCATCTTTTTTCTCGTTTAATATGCGTCTCTCTCTCTCTCTCTCTCTCTCTCTCTCGCTCTCGCTTTCTCTTTCTCTCGTTCGCTCGCTCGCAGGCTCTCGCTCTTTAATAATAATAATAATTATCACTTTTTCGCTCTCTAGGCCACACAGTGTTTCCTTTTCGGTCTCGAAATATTTTTTTTTTTTGAACGCGACTTTTTCCTTTTCGTTCGGTTACTCTTTTCTCTTGTTAGAATCGGGCAGGACCCGCAGAGGTCAGCTGGGTTCATCCTCACTAGACCATAATATTCGCGGTAATAATCACGCGTTCGCAAGCGATAAATCGTTGTCGAACGGTTTTCAAGGGTTTCTTAAAGACGGACGAATTAACAAAAAAAAGATAGAAAAAAGAAAATGAAGCTCCCCCCTCCTCTTCCTCATATCCCATCGCTTCGAAATAATTGTTCGCGTAGTCGTACTTTCAGATGTATCATCAATCTTGCGTTTAAGAGCTTTCCTTGCAAACGATTTATTCGAATTGACGAGGAAACGAGAAGAAAGCGGCGGGGGGAGAGAGTAAAGCTCCGAGTCTCCTGCTGCCCGTTCTATTCTATCCGTTCTTCCCTTCAGGTTCTCTCACGGTATCGTCGCGAATCGTTTCCCGTATATACAGTATATATATTTATATATAATCGCCTAATACGTATATCCTGACGGTACCGCTCTTCCATCGACGGTACTCGCATCAAACCGTCGTCGTTAGTAATTGATTTCTTCGTTCGCTCTCCTCGTTTTCCGTCCCTCAATGAATGGCGACCGGACTCTGTTGAACGCACACCCCGACCATGGGGCTGTCCTCCCTCTCCCCAGGATCCCCCCTCTGCTTACCGGTGTTCACCGACGACGACTGTCTGACCATAGCCGCGTGATCGTCACCCGCGGCCGTCATCGCGTAACCGTACTTGTAGAAATTCTGTTGTTGGATCATCGGCGAGGTCATCATCGCCGGTAGGTGAGGTATACCGGGTAGTATCAGGCTGTTGTAAGAATTCAGGGAAGTTTGCATCAAGGAGGAACCGTTGCTGCCGCCGCCGACGCCGCCACCGCCGTTGCTGCTGTCCACGTTGCTCGACGATTGCTGTTGCATGGAGGACGACGACGACGACGAGGACGACGAGGACGTTACTGGCATCCCGGCGACGACGTTCGTCGACGTCGACGGGTAAACGCCCCCTCCTCGGCGATGATTGCCGCCGTTACTGCTGTTCCCCGTTGTGTGACGGGGCGACGCATCGCACTCCATCGGTTGATAACCGCCACCGCCGGATGGCATCGGGTTCCCGGCGCTATTGCTCCCCTGTCCCGACATGGTTACCAGTCCTGCTGGATCAAGAGAACGCGATTTTACTTCCCGGATGGATAATTCGATCGCTCTACAACGACTCACGCTTTTGTTCACATCCAACTGTTTCATATTTTCCCGGTTGTTCTCCCACTTTGTCTCTACGTACAAGAAATGAGACACGGAAAGAAGAATCGTACCTACAGAACAACGTGTCGATTCACAGATAACGCGAACAACGATTATTCAAACGCAGGTATAGAAACATATGAACAAATGCGTGAGCCACTGTAACTTCGGTACACTAATATGCATAAAAGATCATCCAACGAATATCGACTAGCTCTTTACGAATATAGAACGTCACTATGTATATATGTTATACATATACATATATATATGTATGTAACAATAATCGAAAACAAATAAAAAAAGACTCCAAAATACTACGGGGACGCATTCTCAGGCATATATTTAATTTAACGTTCTCTTTTTCCTTTTATCTTTTTTCTATTTAGATCTTTACGAAGACTCTTTCCAGGAAATCAGAGTCTAATGCCCAATTTCGATTGGTGTCGCCGTTTCTCAAATTAAAATTAATTAGTCATCGTATATGCAAGCAGTTAAAACATGCATCAAATAAATAAATTGTACAAGACAACGAATTAAGGTCGCTTTCAACAACTTAACAGATATGCAATTCAAATACTGTTCAAGCGGGAATATGTTCTCTGATCGAAATGACCGGGACACAGCTAATTCTTTACTTTCGAGTCAAGTTCGGGCGAATGCAAAGTGAACTTGTTAGAAAACGAATGAAGATGAGAAACAAATCAAAGAACATATTCCCAACGATACTGTTCGGTATAATGGTAACTGCGTTCAATTCTAGTATATAATATACGTATGCGTATATCTCGTATCGACAAAGACATTCTCGAGGGTCGAAAGGGGGTAGAACATGTCTCTGGCAATAAATACGAAATACGAATTACGTACGAGTAAATTCATGGTACACAATCGAGATATCGTGAGACAACGGGCAAACTTCCAAATGAATCCGTGTCTCAAATTCGAAAACGAAAAGGAAATTAGGGGGCGGAGGCTATTGTATAAAGGAACAAAGTGCTAAAAGAAGAGAATCCTTTTGGTTTTCTCTTCGTTGGTTTCAAGCAAGCAAGGCTTTCGCATGTATACATCCGAAGGGTAGAGAGGGATCGTAATCGATCGTAGAGGGACTATTTTGGTTTGTTAGTATTCGTTTTTAGCTTCTGTAGGAATTTGCGATTTGTTAGAGAGAGAACTTACTTATTGTTAGTAAGTAAGATTAGGGTCGGGGGCCTAGGACAGGTCGTCGCCGCCCCGCGGATACGACAGTCATCGAGCCACGTACTGTCCCCCCATCATATCTACGGGCAACAACAAGTAGATATCGTTTTAGTTTGCGCAGAAAATAAAAATTACAACGCGGTTAAAACTATTGTACGACATCTTTCGCGCGCAATCGCTTTCAACGATGATTCGAATCTTGATCGACCTCAATTGGCAAAGCTATAAACAGTGAAAAGGGAAATATGAATTTAGAAGCTTCTTTCAACTGAGGCGCGTTCGTCCAAATTTAATTATTGAACTGCAACCGATTACGAGAAGAATCGCGCTTACATCAGACCGATCGGAAACGAGTGAAATCTGATTATCGTATAGCAACGGCACGCACGGTTTAATTTAGATACTCCATAAATAAACTTGTTCAACGATCGTACTCGTACTCGATGCTAAAATGATCGAACGATCTTATAATGATATCGGGAGAATGTAAATTTAGGTTGAAACAGACTGAATCACCGATCACCAAGACTGTGAAATGTTTGGAACAGGAAAACAGTTGAATCGAATTTAGAATCTCTTTCTACTACAGGGGCAATTGTAATGGTGATGTAAATTAGTCTTATTTTCTGCACAAATTAAAGCCTAAATCTGCGTACGTCTTCGACGCAGTCGTAGTAACTTTCGTCGCTTAATTTTCATTAATCGGATAAATGTATATCGAGACTCAATTGATCTCGCAAACATTTTCGCCGACGACGTTACATCGGAAAATTGTTAGCCGTGTGAAATAAAAATATATTAGACGAGATTACGTGAGAAGCATAGCGAGAATATGCTGCAATTTCATTTGTTACGCGTAATCGAACGATCTCGTTAGAACTTTTATATCCTCCTTTGTTTCTACATGTCTCACGTACAAGAATTTTAACGAAATCTAAAAATCGGATAAATGCCGTCGAGTAGGTATATACGTATGTATATCGGAAAACTTCAACCGAACGGATAAGCGTGGACGCATAAAATGCGACGGCGGCGGTCCTTACGGTTATAAGGGTCTACTGAAAGGGTCGAAGAGCGAAAAATTCACATATGTATAAAAGATTCGATTTCGCGAAAACGATCCGTTAGCTATCGTCGAATAAAGGAGATCACGTTAGAAATTTGAGAGATTCGTTCGGTATATTCCGGCGGCGCGTGTTAGAACAACGTTAGATTCCGCGTCGAGATAAGGCCGAGAGATTTTCTCGATAGAGAAGAAGGAACTCACCGTGATCTTGGCTCATCGCGACGACCGCCGGACTGGTGTTGGCGCTGTTCGCGGCGGCTATGCTCGTGTTGGTCCCCTCGTCGGCCGTGCGCTTGAAGAAGTTGTGCTGCAACGCGTAATACGGCGTTACCCTCGTCTTCGGATCGAAGTCGAGCATCCTCAGTATCAAATCCTTGAACTTGAGGTAATCGGATATGGAGTGCCCGGGCTCGCCTATCCTTCGGCCGCCGGGGCCGCCGGTCTCTACACCAAGAATGTCGTGCAGACGCCTCGTCCCCGGCGGTTTGTACTTCTTCCCGTCCTTCGATTTTTTCAACACGTACGAGCCGTCCATGGGGACTTTGTCAAAGTACTTCCGCGCTTTGTGCGCTTGGTCCAATATATGTTTCGGTGGCATGCCTAACACCTCCACGATTTTATTGATCTGATCGACCTGCGGGAAATCGAGAGTTTGGCAGTGCGACAAACACGAGTCGCGTCGTTTCGTATCGGCGACAGCTCGTTATTTACCTCGTTGGAGCCACTGAACAGAGGTTCCCCAGTATGCATTTCAACTAAAATACACCCTAGACTCCACATGTCTATCGCGAGGTCGTAAGGTATCCCTAACAAGACTTCGGGCGATCGGTAAAACCTGGACTGGATATACTGGTATATCTGTAAAAGTGTTATTCGCGCGTCTAAATACCGTCCGTTACTCGTTACTAGATGCACGGGATGGATCACGTCGCTCAATCGTTCGCGTACGATCCGTCGTCGAGAACTCACCCTCTGTCCAAGTTGACACGAGCTACCAAAATCGACTATTTTAATCGCGCTTCGCTTCGGATTGCACAAAAGTATGTTCTCCGGTTTCAGATCACAGTGTATGATGTTCAATTCCGGCGTGGAGAGGAACAAAAGGGCAGTACACAGTTGCTGCGCAAACTTCCTCGTCAGGTTCAACGATACTCCGCGAAAGTTCGTGTTTCTCAGCAAATCATACAGATTGTAGGACAACAGTTCGAACACCAGACAGAGATGATTCCGCCACATAAAATGCCTCTTTAGCTTGACTAAAAATTGAAAATGAACACGATATGACACGTCTCCGTCGAACGCGATTTTACAAGTGTTCGTTTAAATAGACGAAAAGACGAAAACTGAAAACACTAAGTGAATTTACGCGACGGTAACAAATGAAAGAACAGACCTATATAATATTTGTTGTCGGTATCCGCCCTGTTCATCATTTCCAGCAGCCTCACCTCGATCTGTGCTTGATTTAGAAAAGGTTTTTTGTTCTTGATTATTTTTATTGCCACCTGCGTTTGCTCCTCGTGATCAAACGCTTTCACTACTTGGCCGAAACTGCCTTTACCTACGAAAAGATATATACATGCAATACAGATCGTCCAATACATAATACGGTGCATCGGTATGCGAATCTACGTATACCCGATGCACAATGGTAAAATGAAAAAATGGAATACGAGATAATGCGACCCATCGTAAATCTCACCTATCAGCGAATCGATCTCGTAGCGATCGAGGAACTTTTCCCCATTCTTGATAATATAATCGTGATTCTCGTCGTCCCAACCATCGTTGTACAATTTCCTTTCCTTTTTATGGGAACCGTCCTCGCCTTGCATCTGTTGCGCCCTTCTTTTCTTTTTCGCGTAATAAACCTGTCGAATGAAAAGTAACAATTGAAATAACAAAACTATACAAATAATTGAAACTCGCTGCGTATGTATATATTTCAAAAGTCCTACAAACAGGATCCAACGATTATATTTTCGAGAAAGACGGAGAACCGTCGGAAAGCATATTATTCAAGATCAAGTGACGCAACCGAAATTTCAATCTATCCACATCGTACGTTAGAATCGTATTGAAAAGTCTGGTTTAGTTAAACGTTTCGTTATGCGTTGTCGTCATCTTTTGTTTCTTTTATCTGGCAAATCATCTAGTGAGTATGAAGTGACAAAGTAATTTTGAAAGAGCGGCAAATAACGTGAACGGACTAATAAACAAATACAGACGCCCTACGTTTCTGATTTGTAAAAATTTGTAGAATAGAGCGCGCGTTTCAGTTACCTCGTTGATGTGTTTGTAAGTCTTGATGAGGTCCACGCTGAGCTTCCTAAGAGGCGCCGTGGCCGGGTCGCGAAATCTGTGGGGTATCCTAGCCTGCATCGCGTGGATATCGGCGGGCGTCTCCTGGGGGACGCCCCCAGGACCGGGAACGGTACCGGCGCCGCATACGGTCGGCGGCAATGGTTCCTCGGCCACGAGGCGACCGTAAAGAGGCGCGCCACCCCCGCCGCCGCCGCCACCTCCGGCGACTGCCCTCCCGCTTACTGAAAATCAAGACCATCGTTAAAAAACTCGTTTTGAACATTTTACCGGGCAACAAGTTTTCAGTTTTAGTAAAAGACAGAAACCGTTTTCTTCGAACATGTTATATCAGATAAAAACTGTAACGCATACTTAATCTTCGAACGTGCACGTGAAAATGATACGTTCGAAGCATTCGTTAAACGTGAAGAGTATACCTCGCGTATTTGAACCATGTTTCAAAACTATATAGAATCTACCATTCAAATTAAAACGCTTTGTAATTGAAATAATCGATCAAATCATCGCGATTCAATTTATGTCAAACTAAACGAAATATACATTGACATAAATTTTTCGATGTGCGGTAGATAAGCGTAAAAGGTACGAGTAGCTATATTTATCATTGCTAGCAACAAGTAGTCCACGTGTGCGAGCGGTGATAACCGTTTTCGTTTCAATTTGCAACCCGTACTTATCTACCGTCAAGTATTTCCTACATTCGAGAAATCGACAAATAAACATTCTCGTTCGACGTTCCAGTACTGGCGTATTCAAAATCTTTGCCAGAGTCCTCGTTTCGAACGCCTTTCGCAGTCGTTTCCTTCGTTCGTTCGTTAGTTCGTAGTATAATCGAAACTATCAGAAACGACTCGGCTCGAACCGATATCCCTCGCATCTTTTTGCCAACTCGATATGTAATTAGATCATCGATCCCCCACTTTCACCGTTCCGAAGAGGCAACGAAACGTAATTATACACACCGAGGGAACATTTCTTCTCGTTGCGACTTATTCACGCGCCGTTTCTTCCATTTCTTTTCGACGACAACGTCGAACCACCGGATGGGAAACGGACAGCGATTTTTATCGGTGCTAACGGAAACGTTCGCCAACTGTTTTTCTTGAGAAGCATCGATGGGACCGAACGTAAAAGTTCCGGGGTTGCTCCGTCGAGAACGCGGCTTTACCGACTACGAGACCGCTGTGGCGCCGTTCTGTTTCACGGTTCGCCAGTCGAAAAGGGTTAAAGGGAAGGGGGTTGAAGGAGAAAGTTAATCGGCGCGCGCGCGCGAGATATATATACAGGGGGTTGTAGCGAGAAAGGACTACGACAGCGAGAGAGGATGGATAGAGCCAGAGTCGCGTATTGATCGCGTCGCACGGGGGTGGAGCGACTGGCTGGCTGGCTGACTGGCTGGATGGCTGGCTGGCTGGCTGGCTGGCAAGTCCGTCTTCTACGGGGTGTACGAATAGATGTGGGACATTTTTCGAACGGGGCCCCGGTCAACATTCGGTTTAACGTTTCGGTACTCGGATTAGTTTGACACTACGGATCGGGAAGTAACATCCGACTCCGAGCGAGATCGTCACAGCTACGTGCCATCCAACCGGTTGGGCGGGATCGATGCCGTCGACGGTATTCGATCGATGCTTGTTTGATCTTTAACGCGAGCATCGGTACCATTGGTACTGATATCGAACGAGTACCAATGCTTGTATACGACGAACCATCGCGACGGTACCTAGAGATCCTCGATGACTATCCGATAGAATGTTATGATGACTCGAGCATCGATTCGGTATCGGTCCGATCGCAAGGTTCAACGTTTGCCATTCAAGTGCGAGATCCATGCGAAAGTCGAGAAGATAAAAAGGAAAGAGAGATGGGCCTAGAGTGGGCCAAATTTAGTCTAGTCAGGACCACGATCTAAAGTCTTCGGATTTTTCGAGAGTCGCCAATCGGGCATCGATCCAAAATACTATCGACCGCCACGTTACGTCCTGTTACTTAAACAAAGTGTACAGATTACGATTTCCCCATACGAATCTTTAATTAGATATTACGATGGAATATAGGAAAAACCTGTTACACCCAAGCATCGAGATAAAGTTGTTTCACCTCGATAAGTTCCGAAACGTGTCGCCGCGTCGTTTCCTATAATCGGTCTTGTCTCGGTACTTCGGCAGAGTATAGCGAATAGAAGTACGATGGGAAATAGGCGTTTTTTCCAACGCGTACATCGCTTCTAGTTCGTTTTCTCTTTCTTCGCGGATAAGCTTATCGTTCCGGAGTTCTTTCAAATAGAACGATTCGTTTAGTATTCGATCTAAATTGATACCGACGCAGTTCGTTCGATTCGTGCGTCTGCCCGCGAAAAACGAGTTTGATCGCCGGGCGAGATCGCGACACGAGGACGATGTAAATAAGGGATATAGAAAGAAATGTAATAGATGATTCCCGTCGATGAGTACTTACATTGTTGCTTATGCCTAGATTCCATAAGGATCATTTGTTCGTGTTTGTGCCAGGCGGCATCGGTAGTGTCCGTTCCCGGCATGCCCCTCGCACCTGCCGAGGGTGGTTGCACGCCCCCGCGGCCGCCACCTCCGCCACCGCCCCCGACCCCTCCGCTTCCATACTCCATGCCACCGGCACCCTTACCGCCGTCTCCTTCCCACCCTCCGCAGCCGCCGCCGCCCTCCTCCTTTCACTTCTGCCCCCGGCAGTCTTCAGACGCCTCACAACATGGGCCACTACCCCCCGTTGCACCCTCTTTCTTCTCTCTTTCTCTCCGATAGCACCCCTTACGCTTCCTCCTCTCCCTCTCTTCCTTTTCTTCTTCTTCTGTTTCTGTTTCGGCTTCTGCTTCTTTTTCTTCTTCTCTTCCAGGTGTTCCTTTTCACGGTCTCTTTCCCTTTTTCCTTCGATCGGTGCACCCTTGTTCTTTCCTTCTGTCTTCCTTGTAGCTCTCTCTCTCCCTCTCTCTCTCTCTCTTTTGGTACCGTGAAAATTTTCTTTTAAAGTCTAGGCTAAACTTCTTCCACGATTAGCGATAATTCTTTTTTGAAAATGGAAGATTTTATTCTCGTACGAGGGCTCCCTGTCCTTCTGATCGTCTCTAAGGTGTATCTTTCTGAGAGGGAGAGAGAGAGAGAAAGAGAGAGAGAGAGAAAGTCCTTCGAAACAGCGTATATTCCGTTGGAGGACCCTCGAACTTGTCTCCTCGCTCGTTTCTTCTCGTTCCGTGACACGGGCGTATCCTTTTCTTTCTCTTTTCCCTCATGCGAAAAAATAATAATTCTTATTTACAAGACGACCCTACGTTGACGACGACGATCTTTTTCTTTTTCTTCTTCGCTCTCTCTCTCTCTCTCTCTCCCCCCTTTTATCGTGCGATCCACGGATACGACTTTGGCGCGATTTCTCCCGTTTCGTTCGATCCTCCTCGTCCTTTCCGTGCTTTTTAACCAACTTTGTCGGGAACTGTCACCTCCGTCGTCTCTCTAGCTGTTTCTCCCTTATTTTTTTCTCTCTTTTCTATCGCTATTCCGCTGTTCGCTTCGTCTTCCCCGTACCACTAACAACTCCCGGCTTTTACTGGGAACGACGGTCCTCTTCTCATTCGATCTCGTTGTCCAGTGTTTTCATGACGATTCCTCGATCCCAGTGTCTGAAATCAAACAAACGGTCGATTGTTATGGCTTTGTTAGAAATAAATCATATTGATACAACTATCGTAAAGAAGAAACGTTGAAAATTTGTTTTTTTATCGCGATGATTTTAAAACAATTTCGTTATTTTCGACCATCAGGTCACATCGGTTGCTCAAACGATAAGAAATACCTGTTTATCGTACACCCCGAATAGACGTACCTCGCGTAAGCTCGGATGCTGCACGAATATATTTCGAAGTACGTACGTGCAAGTTATTATTTTCTCGTAACACAAATTATAGAATCGTAAGTTCTTGCAACGCAACATAACGTAAACGTCTTTTTTCGATGACTTCGACTCCAAAGATAATTAACATCGCTAGTTCGATACGCATGCACACTGTGACGTGTCGACCTACCTACCACCTGTTTTATAAACGGGTCAGGCGGGGTCTACAGGGCTTGGAAGCAATAATTTCGTGAAACTATGGAAACGAATGGAAAAAGCCACAGCTGATCGGCAAATATAGGTAACACGCGTAACTACTTGTAGCGGACGTTCATTCGTTTTTTAATCATTCGATAAACGAAAATGTCCTACTTATTTAAAAGACGCACGAATTAAAAGAAAATCTTGTCGCTAGTTCGAAGGAAAATTGTATCTTCTCGGAATGATTCGAACTTGTTATTGTTTAAAGTTCGCGATCTTTCAATTACACGTGTCGTTGTCCAAGCAAATTAGCGTCACACTTACGTCGATCGTTCATTTATTCAACGAGAACTTATCAGTTAACACCGAATACGTATTGATAAAGCTGCATAAGAGACTTAAGATATTATGAAGCTGAATTAACGTGAATACAGTAAATCTTATTATGTTCGCAGAATATAAATTAAAAAATTAATCCGATTACTTCATTATTACTTTTTAAAGTAAGTATGCGAGCTGACCGATAAGTGTCGACATTAACCGCGTCGACTATTATTAGGTATCGTCGTTTCCGCATAGACGCGCGTACGGACACTACTTTATAATCTTAATTGCAATTGTAATCATAATTACCGTAACGAAAAGACACGATCTTTTAAAGAATTTTAGTTGCCAAGATACGATTTCGGTTCACAAGTTGTACAATTTCGATTTGTTTTATATAAATCGGATCGAAATTCTGCCTCGCCCTTTCCTTCGTTCTCGTATAAATCTTTTACCGACTTATCCTAATCAATTTGCAGTTAATTGGTAGCACAACACAAAATTTCTGTCTCTTACACGGATAAATAATGAAATATTGATAGACATTTGGAATTGTTGAAGAACGTATTTAGATTTTCCAGAAAATAAACCAAACTCAATAAGTGTCTTTATATATATAATTATTTAAATAATTTTTCATTTTAAGAAGGCGGAACTATGACTTTTAGTGGAGGACGACAATACGATGCAAAAAGACGAAGTAACTAATTTGCAATTGGCTTACGTTTGATCGAAAGTTTCAAACCAAGATCTCGATGATGTTCAATGAGATGTAATCAGGCTTCGATAAATATAGAAAAGTGATTGAAGAAATGAATGAAGAAATCATACAACGACTTGAACAATCGAAAACAATGAAAGTACGATAGTTACAGTCACAGAACGATCCTTACTCTTATACAGCGAAATAATAATTTGTACGCATTTTGTTTTTCTTTGACAATACCTTCAAAACTATTATAATCGTTCTATAATAATCATTTTTACTTCGATAGATACGCATACAACTAACGAAATAACACATGTTATGAAATCTTTATTCCGAAAACTACGTACCTAAGGATACAGCTTGAACTTCGACTTTACACGACAAATTTGTAGACGATCGTTGAAACAAAAGATTTTAGTATCGAGTAAATAGCTTGTTTTCTCGGTAAGCGCGTTCAGTTGGTTGAATTAAAAACGATAAACGCAAGGCTGGCTCGACGAAAAAAGAGACGAGCGATGAACGTTTGAGGTTAAGCGTTAACGATCAGGGAGCAACCTAACCTGCAATCGAGTCGCTTTTTCGCTAGGCACGATGTCCTCGAAAATCGCGTAAAAATTTCCGGATCAGAGAACAACGAAAGTGAACGCGAGAGATGAACGTGAGATGATCGTTCAACGGTGGATTGTCGAATTCGTACGATAAATTGGTAACGAGATCTATAACACACTGTATTTTCAGTTCATTTACCTCTTCGATGCGATACGTTTCGGAGTACACAACGTAACGCAATACATACGTACATAGATACGGTCGAACGATCAAAAGAAAACTTTACCTGGACTCGTCGAGAAAATGTATTTTCACTAGTGGAGATAACAATTCAATACGAAACGTCTAAACGGAAGGAAAATTGCAATTTCTTTCGTTTCGACTATTGCTTCCTCTCCCCCTCCTATCTACGAGTAATATCCCGCTTTCTTTCTCTTCCCTCTCCTTTTCTTTGTTCCGAACAACTAGTCGTCGCGAGCGCACGTTGCAAGAACAAACAATTTCGTGTCTACGTACTCTCGACGTGTGACAATCAAATTTCGACTCACCAAGTGTTTCTCATCCTTGAACGACGATACGAATTCCAAGACACAAAAGCACTTTCTCGCGAGAAAAGTACAAAAAGCACACACGCACAAACACGCGCGCGCGGATTCAACGAATATACCGTTAATATTCTTCGTTCGACGCACACGCTTTCTATAAACTCGTTACGCTAAAAAAATTACACTTTAGTTTAGTTTTCACTGTAACTATTGACAACACTTTTCCCTCTTCTTCTTCCTCCTTTGGCAATGAAACGCGTGGTGGTCTCGCGATAATGAAAAAACAAACAGATCGTGACCATGAGACACGAAATATGCACGCGTGAGACGATAAGATTCCTCTCTTTCCTTCTTCCTTTGGTTCTCTCTTCCTCTCCTCCTCACCCCTCTCTCTGTCGCTCTCTTTATCTCTTTCTCTCGATCACTACACGCACAATAATAAATATTTGCGATCTTTTTCGTTAAAATAAGCTCGCAACACGCACACGCGATCCTCTTCTCGCTGACCTGTATTTTCGCACGTGGACACTCGGGTATCTGTGTATGGGTTTCCGAATAAACGAGAGAGGCGGTTAAAATGTCGGACTCCCACGCCGCCGCTGCCGCCGCCGCCGCCGCCGCCTTCGAAAACGATTATTACGCGTAACGGTTAACCGTATCGGTGACACCGCACGCACCGCGTCGTATTCTCGATGGTTCGTTGTCACCAGAAGGAGAGAAATAACGAGGAAACGCGCACGACACACGCGTGTATCGCGATCAATCCCGTTCCGTAGTCTCGTCCCGTTTCCCGTTCGTTCGGTCGGTTCGGTCACCTGTTACCGAGTCCACAAGCCAGACCGACACTTTTTTTTCTCTCTTCAAACGAACGCGCACACGTATATACACCATTCACGTTTAACCGGATTCGTGCACTCGCGTTTAACTGGATTATTCGTAGCGTCTCTGCCGCAAAAAAACGAATTAACGAGAGGTAAAGTACACGAGAGAAGGGAAAAAAAGTTCAATGGCTACCGTTTGTTTTCTTTCATTCGTCCGAAAGGTTCGGGTTTCGTTCAATCGAGTTCAGTTCAGTTCAGGCGGCGCGAATCGGGTTCAATCGGGTCGGATCGGCTCGATTCAGGTTATGGCCATCGGGTAGTCGCATGCCTCTCCCCGAAGACGGACAGGTAGGTAGATAGGTAGGTAGAATAATCACGTGGGTCGGCCGCCGCCGCGTCCCTTGTTTTTCCGGTCGGCGACGTTACTGACGTTCGCGATCGCCTATTTATTCTTTCACAGAGTTTCGTAGGCGCAATTCCGCGCAACCATCCGAACAATTTTCCCTCGAGCTTCCGACACGGCGTGTATATGTATGTATATACGTATAGGTAAGACTGGTTAGAAGACACGCTGCTGCGTGAAGCACGTCATCGTGTTTCTGGCGCCGTCGGCGCTGCTGCTGCGGACGGAGAAGACCGGAGTGATAGAGCTGGCTGACACCCCCGCTCGAGCGCCGCAATGAACTCGCCCGATGCCAAGGGTCAAAAGCACCACGGCAAAATAATAACAGAACGTGGTCGCCGCCGCCGCCACCGCAACAGTCGCCGTCGCCACCGCCGTGGTCCTCGTGCGGCACCGGGGGTCGCCGTCACAGACGACCACCCACCAGCTCCTTCTTCTGCTCTCGATAGCGACGCGAGGACGATGACGATCCGTCGCCGTTGTCGCCGCCGCCGCCGCGAGAAAAACGGCGCGACGCCCCGACGCGGCGGATTCTTGTCCAAACGGCGCAACGTCGCGTCGTGCGCCTCGAACGTTACTCGTTGTTACAGCTTCCCGATGCCAGTCGCCGTCTCCTTCGTCTCCTCTTCTTGTTCTTGTTGTTGTTGTTTTCGCTGGTGGTGGTTGTTCGCGGCCGCGGGTTTTGGCGGGTTTCCACGAGCGACGAGCGCGCACACCACTGGCACACACCGCGGCCGCCGTGCATTCACCTCGTCCTCGCACCTTGCGCCACCGCCGCCGCCGCCGCCGTTACCCCAGCCCCGACCCCGACCACTCTCGACGTTACCGATTCGCGCCTCGTTCCCGTTCCTTCTCCTCTGGCTACGTCTCGGCGATGAGACTCCTCGCGATGCAACCGCGCCGACGATCGACGACGGTTCCTTCCGCCGCCGCCGCTCGGAGGATCCTTCCTACTTCCTCGTGCTCTCGGACCGAGGTGCCGAGACTCGTCGAGCCACGCTACTCTTCGACTCCGACACGCGTCGAGATCGAGCACTCGCGATTTAACCACCGCGCCGCCGCCGCCGCCGCCGTCAGAAATGTACGCGAAAGACCAGCCACGAGACGACAACGCGTGCGAACGTTCGAACGTCCTATCGCCAGACGCGAGATTTGTATCCCCTAATCGCGGAGATACCGCATCACTTTCACGGGCGAACATGGAGCTCGATCCATGCCGAGTGTTTCATCGAGCGTCCGCCGTTTCGTTTTCTGGCGCTCACGTCACTCTCTCTCCCTCTCTCTCTCTCCTCTCATCGCCCAATACTTTCACCCCTTTCACCGTCCTCTTTATCTCTCTTTGTCGCTGTAGCTTTGTCTGTCTCAGTCTCCAGGAGTACCAACTACCAACTCTACCGATTTGCACCTACATCTACAAATCATGATCTACATTGATACACATCTCCATACATATACGTTATTGCTGCACGTGTCGGCTTTACGAACCCCACGTCCTGTCATTTTCGCTAACCTAACGAAATACTGATACATATTTTGATAGATCGAGCATCTTTTGTTGCTTACGTATTGATGCATGTATATACAGTTCGGTTCGAATTAAGAATTTATAATGACAGAACCAACGCCAACTTTGGAAAAATCCAAAAAAATTAATGTGATTAACAAGCAAACAGTTCATCAAATTTGTTCCGGCCAGGTAGGATAAATTCCAGGTACTTTCTACCGTGTCTCGTTATTTTCACCGATTGAATGAGAGATAGATACTCACATGTTTTGTTGGCTCACAATATTTTTCATGAGATTCCCGTGTCCTTTTCATCAGGTAATTCTTGATCTGGCAACTGCCATAAAAGAGCTCGTGGAGAATAGTTTGGACAGTGGTGCAACGTTCATTGATATCAAGTTAAAAGATCATGGAAAAAGTTGCATCACAGTGACGGATAATGGTAGCGGGGTTTTGGAAGAAGATTTCCAAGGATTGGGTACACATTTGCGATTCAAATGTATAGCCAAATTTGTTATTTATAAATCCGTAAATTAATTTTTTTCAACAGGATTGAAGCATCATACTTCTAAACTACGCGAATTTTCGGATTTAACAGAAGTTAACACCTTCGGATTTCGCGGCGAAGCTCTAAGTTCGCTTTGTTCTCTATCAGAATTGAGCATAATAACTAGACATCGTAGTAGCGAACACGGTTTCAGACTGGAATTCGATCAAAATGGGATTCTACGCGAGAAGGTGCCCTGCGCGAGAGAGGTGGGAACCACGGTTCATGTAAGAGATATATTTAAGTGTCTCCCAGTGAGAGCGAAAGAGTTCTATCGAAACTTGAAAAAGGAATACGCTAAAGCGATTCAAATATTGTACAGTTATTGTTTGGTGGCGGTAGACGCGAAGATAACATGTTCCAATACGGTATCGAATAAGCTTCCATCCGTCGTGGTGAACACGGCTAGTTCCAAAGATGTTATGGGCAATATCAGTGCGGTTTTCGGTAACAAATCGACGAACGGACTCATGCGAATCAAATTACTGACTCCTGATGAAGCAACCTTGCGAGAATACAATTTACCTGACAACGTAGACGTGGATTTCGAATGGGATTGCTATGTGAGCAGTTGCGATCACGACTTAGGACGATCAAGCCCTGACAGACAATTCTTTTACGTCAACGATCGCCCCTGTGATTTGACGAAAGTCGCTAAATTGATAAATCATATTTACCAAAGATATAACAACAAACAGTATCCGTTCGTTTTTCTGAACTTAAAGCTGGATAAAGGATCGACGGATATCAATGTGACGCCGAATAAGAGAACCATATTCTGTGCGCAGGAGCGTTTGATTCTAGCTACTCTCAAACAAAGTTTGATAACAGAATGGGACTCGCAACAGGGGAGTTTGACGACAAAATCTTTACAAGAATTAAATTTGTTAACGAAAAGACAGATTTCACCTACAAACACGACAGATAGGCCAGCAAAGAAGTTTCGTAATCTAGATTCGTCTAATTCACTGCGTAACGATCGTGAGACTGTTCAGAATGACAAGGTTGTTCCATACGATGATGAAAACGTTGCAACATGTTGGGAAAAATTGGACGATGCAGAGATGAAGATTAACATAAAATCAGTCGCAGAGCGATTGAAGGAAAAACGGCAAAATGTTTCACCTAAATTCGCGACTCGCATCCCTGAGATCAAGTTCAAAGCACAAAACGAATCGAGCGAGAACGGAGGAAAAGAAGAGAGGAACCTAAAGAAACGCTTAACCAAGGACTCTTTTCTCAAGGTTTCCGTTACTTAAATGAATTTTAAACTTCACGAATTGTTGGACAGAAAAGAAAAATGATTTTTTTAAATTCTATTAGATGGAAATCGTAGGACAGTTCAATCTCGGTTTTATAATAGCCCGTTTGAACAACGATTTATTCATCATCGATCAACACGCGAGCGACGAGAAATTTCGTTTCGAGAAACTTAATAACGAGACGCGATTGAAAACTCAGAAATTGATCGTTCCGAAGCCTATGGACATATCCACGGTGAATGAAACGATACTAATCGAGCATAAAAAGATTTTTGAGGATAATGGATTCTTTTTCAATATCGATTCCGAAGGTAGGAACAAATATCTGCGAATCTCTAAATCGATTTAGTTTAAACATCTAATAATTTGATTCGTTGACTTCGATTCTTCCAGCTGGATCCGGACATCGAGTGCATTTAACAGCTATGCCAGTCAGTGGAAATTGGCAATTCGGGCAAGAAGACATAGAGGAACTCATATTTTTTATTAGAGAAGGCGGCGTGGGAAACGAACGCGAGGATAAATTTCGGCCTACTCGTGTGAGACAGATGTTGGCTTCCAGGGCTTGCCGGAGCGCAGTCATGATCGGCACAGCCCTCAATTTGAATGATATGCAAAGATTAGTTAGGCAAATGGCAAGACTGGAAAACCCATGGTGCTGTCCCCACGGTAGACCGACGATAAGACATCTATTATCCTTGACTTAGAATATAGAGGAACTTTCCGAAAATACGTTGTACCTTTGTTTTTTATAATACGAGTATCGATCTATGAGGATCGATGAAAAGGAACCTGGAATATTTTCTAATACAAGACAAAAAAGACCTTTCCTACTCTGAGATAAAAAATAAACGATGATTTTATTGTTAAATGCTGATCGTACGAAACACATTGAATCCCGAGTGCGCCGTAGATATCACTACGCCAGGACACTGAGGATGCCAATGCAACTCTTTGATATCCGTTTGCCCTTGATGAATGAACAATAACTGCGGTGGCAAATTTTTTATCTCCTCTGCCTCCTCCGATCGATCGGCTTCCACCGATAGATCCCACTGAGCTATTTGATCGTCCGCACCACCGGAAGCAAATACCGTAGCTTCCTGGGGATGCCACTCGACCGTCGTCACAGGCGCCATGTGTTGCTTGAACTTTGCTAACGGAGTGGAATCGTTCGAAGCGAATTGTCGCAAATCCCAGACGCAGATTAATCCGTCGTCACCGCCAGACACAAGAAATTGATTCTCCTTACGATTCCAAGAGATGACGTTGATATCCGCCGTATGCGTACCGGAAACGGAAAGCATACAGGCAGACTGCGGGCTAGCTCTCGTGTCCCAGATTTTAATACTGTTAAGATTGAAGAAATATGCTTAGTACACTTAGCTCCTCAGCTCTCACCTAGAGCAGCAGTCATACAAATACCTTTTGTCAACGGAGCAAGAAGCAAGAACATGTCTCTCGTTAGGTGACCACTGAATATCTTCGACGCTGTGCGGTGCATGAGTATTGTAAGGTCTCTGATCCACGTGCCACGTTGAACCGCTGTTGTCCAGGCGCCATATGTGAATGTTACCCTTGCAATCGCCCGAAGCCAAAGTTCCCGCTTCCGTCGTACACCAATCGAGACCGTATCCTTCCGAAAGATGACCTTTGAAGCTAAACAATGGTTTCAATCCACCACCATCGCTTCTTTCCGCTTTCTTCCGATAACTGCGGAGCAGTTCATCGTTCTCCAACGCTTTTAACTGTTCCTCTAAATTCCATATGTGCACACGTCCCAACTCGCTCCAACTAGCTGCTATACTTGTTTCACCGACTGTTGTGTACCTGTGCGCGGAATATCGATGAGAATTGATCGAAATGAGAAACAAATTCATGGAACAGAACTCCCCGATTCGTATTCATTTTACGCTTACCTTATCCTGTTAACGCAACCCTGATGCCTTATCGGGGCGACGGACATTATCGGCAAATTTTCATTATCTTCCAATTCGTCATCTGAGTCTTCCTCATCCTCATCCTCCTCCACTCCGCGGAGATTCTTCATTCTCATCACAAGCACATTATTAACGTGAGCGCTAGCAGCCTGTGTTCCAGCAATAAGGAACATGTCCAACGGATAATTCTCTCTATTGTCACCCAAACGATCCAGGATCACGTCGAAACTGAGACATGGAGCACCAGATTCCGCGTGATGCAACATTTTATATGCTGTTTTATCCACGACGAGTTCTTCATTGCTTTTTAGAGGCCTTCCAGGTAAATACACCTCCGATTTGTTTTCCTTTTCCGTTCCCTCTTCGCTTTCCGCGGAATCTTCCTCCTCGCTTTCACTCTCTGCCATATCTTCGTCAATTTCATCGACTGATTCACACTCCATCTCTTTCGGTACCTCCTTGTAAGAATTGGTCATTTTAATATATTCTGTAACTAATTGAAAACAAAAGATGATCATAGACCGTCATAAAGGATTAGTCGAATCGAACGCGCGGTAAGATAACGACGGATGAAGACCAACATAGTATGGATAAACATATAACGAATATCATTTAAAACGCACGTTGAACAATATTTCAATTTAATACGTAATACATGTTCTTGGGTATTATAATGCAATTTGTACGAAAAACATAATTTCTAAAAAGTTCACGTTTACTTTACATCACTGTCATAACCTTACATTATTAATCAATCGCGTAACATAACGCTTAACGCAAGATACTATCAACATCGATATAAAATATACGTAACGTATAAATTCAACAAATTATTTAACATTATTCGCAAAAATATTAATGCCAATTCAAACAGTATTTAAAGTTACCTATCCGCGTATCTGTGAAACACGTGTTAGCACATTTCACAACGCGACGACGCGCAACGCTGTTCGATGAATGTGAAAAATAGAATACATATAGTAAATAGTAATGTAGGTAAATATACATGCAACTTTACAACTTACGTTACGTACTACCAGAGTACTATACTCATCGTCGCGATCCTCGTTTCTCTTCTCGCTCCAAATGCGTCTGTATTTACAATTAGATCGAACTTAAGTAATCGACGATCGATCTAATTAATTTTGTTCTTTCTTTGTTATTATTCGTTTATTGACCACACTTTTTGTGCGAATCGAATTTCAATTTGAGGAAATAAATACAAAGACAATTAATTACAATACATAATTGTTTGATCGATAAAAGGGGAAATTTTTAAATACGCAATCACAAATTGAAAACGGAAAAAAGAAACATCGTAATCTACAGAAGTATTTATGGTGTATATCCATTGATCTATATTCCATTTTACAATAAACAGTTTCTTCTTTTATACTAATTTCTTTTTTCCCTTTACGATTTCCATAAGGAGCAAAGTTATTTTACTTTCTTCGAACGCATTACGTTACATGATCATATTCTTAAAAAGAATTCTTATCGGAATTACTCGAAAAAACAATTCAGTCTGTTACATACCAACCTGTGGCATAGCAAAGTTCTTTCAAACGAATCCATTGTTAGAAGCATTTATCACATATTGGAAATTTCTTTTAAACGAATATCTCGAGGTATAGATATGTTTCGTTATGAAATATGTAACACCTTTTCCGAGTATATCATAATTAAAATCAATAGTGAAAAAGGAAATATATTCGTATCATCCTTTTCGCTTTCGTTTCGTGTAAAACACCATCCACTTTACGTATGAAAAATTATGCGTGTACTTATTCGTATGTACGAGCGTTATTATCCATGATAAAGAATGAGAAAATGATTAAGGAGTTTAGTTATAAAAAAAAACGAGACAGATTGTTCCTTCGTGGACCAGTCTATAGTAATTCGTACGGATGACAGCAAGAACGATGACAATGATAATAATCAATGAACGGGAATTGAGATAGCAGCGATAATAGTGCCTGTAGAGCAATAGTAATGCTAATATCGTAACTAACACGTAGCGGCATTAACGACGGTAATAGAAATGAAACTGCTACGAAACAACGAAAAGGACAGAATATACAAATGTCGTGATCGTTTTACATAGGAAATTAGAACTTTTTTGGCAACGAAACAGATGTCTCGAAATGTATGGTCTCAAATTCGTTAACGCAAATATGGATGGTATTTAATATTAGCTGTGTTTATTCAGATTTAGGGGATTGCTACTAGAATTATTCATCAACTGTATGGATGCGACGGTGGATATATCGGGATTATGTCGAGGATTCGTGTTGTTGAGGCTGTGAATGTAAGAACGTTGGACGGGCTTGTGCTGCGCCAGTTGCAATAAAGCCTCCGGTATCGTAAACCATTTCCGTTTGCGACCAATCGCCCGAGAGTCCTCCCATTCTGGCAACTCTTCTGTAACCCGCATCACCCACACCTGTGTCCTATGTTTGTGTTCCACATTCTACAAAATAAATGTTACCACCATAGTAAGTAAACGTAAGTGTTAATAACATTGATCGATGTATCCGGAATTAACTGAAGCTTATGAAGATCGACCGATTCGATTCGTGAAATAATTTTTACTTCATGTAAAAATAACCAACCAAACACCTACCTCAAATATGCCAAGACATCTGCCTAATTGTCCTAGAACGCCAGCCTCTTCCCTGACTTCTCGTAGTGCCGTTACTGCGGGTTCCTCTTCAGGTTCGACACCGCCACCTGGTACTATCCAACTGTCTGGTCTTCTGCTTGATGTAACCAAAAGTACCTGAAATTGATAAATTGATGATAGCTCATTAGCATCGAAGTTACATTTATAGTGTATAAAAAATAGTGTATGTGCCAATTGTTGGCTTTACCTCATCTTCGAGATCATTTTTTACGCATATACAAGCAGCCCTGCGCCTGTAACCCTCCGAGTCGTAGATACGTATCGAATTCGGTTTCTCCTTGACCATGTTCGTTTTTTCGATATATAACGATTACGAGATTATTCTATAGAAATTCATACTTTGTCAGACGGCCGGGTAGGCCAATCTGTAACACGCTCGCATCGTTTTAACGTTATTTACCGTAGCCGACATAATCATCGACGGAGAATCGTTCGGCGAGCATTAGACTCCGCCTCACATAATTCGAATTCGACTAGAACGAATTGTCGTTACTTTTCCGTCCAAATAAATGGGACGACACCGTTTCTTTACAGAATCGTTATATCACTAATATAACACCACTAATGTTGTCCTTGCAGAAATCTCGATTATAACCTGAAAACTTTTAAAGTATACGTGCATAGTCGCAGTCGCTCATGTCGCTGGACTGGTCACTCCATCTACGCTAAATACTTCAGATGTCAGATATCTTTTATTGCACTTTGAATATTATTACCAGAGAGAAACTTTTTTCTCTCTGTTATTACATACATCCTGTGCCATTTGTTAGATCATATAAAATTTCTAATATCAGGACAAAGTCTAAACGTAAAGTGCAAAAATATTGTTTCCTTATCTTTTCAAGAAATGTGTATCAAAATGAAACGAAGCAAATTTTATGATGACATATAATTTCTCATTGTCTAAACAGAAACAAATAGTAAAAATTCTAAAACTCAATTAAATACATTGAAAACCAGTAGAGTCGAGAGCAACATAATTCTAAATTTCCGGCCATTGTGCGACCTCCACCCATCTACAGTCACAGCAGCTATGATAACGTATCCTCTATTCTGTTGGTTCACACAAGAAAGAAGCATGTTTCTTAAAAAACTTAGTCAAGATTTATTACATAAATTACAGTTGAAAATATGAGATATAAATATGTACGATGTAACAAGTAACGAACGCAAATGAAAAACGAAGATCGGACTCATGAGTTAGTAATTTGTGATAACGCATGTACCGGGTGCAACAATGATAAATCATCTGTTCTCGAAAACCACTGTTGCAGAAGATGTTCGACAGTTTCGGCATCGTCCTTTGATGAAAAAGAAAAAAGTGATATAGATAAGAAATTGGAAGAATGCCACGTATTTGCTATTGTACTTACCTCGCTCGTATCAGTATCGCATATTTGCAATTTCTTTTTCAGGTTTCGGGAATCTAAAATCCAAATATGGTCAGATCTGTGAGTGATCCATAAATTGGGACCCACCGGACCAACCACAAGTTTCGGATGTTGGTTACACGCGATAGACCTGCTATATTTTTATTGAATGTAAAGAAATTGTAACGGTGGACGTATAATTTACTGTAGATTGCTTACTTATTTTGATAGTTGTCGGTAACTTTTTCTATGTCTATATTCCAAGGTACCGTAGTTCTTAGGACTAAATTTTGTTTCTGCGTCATGTTGAAGTTCATTTTCCCAATAGCTTCTAATAGCCTATTCTTGGTTTTCACTTTTTCGGCAGCCTCTTTTTCCGCGGCTTTATTCCTCTTTTCTTTACGCTCCAATTCTCTATCGCGCGCAAGATCTCGATAATATCCACGTTCCTCGGGTGACAAATTTTTCCAAAGGGTAGTTATCGTTTGAGCGCACTGAGCTGCCGTTAAATCGCCAAATTTTCCCATAACTACAAATGAAGTTTTCTTTTTAATCACTGCATTGAAACATACATTGGGGACTTACCTTCGGGTCTAACACGTTCCGAATATATAGCAAAGCCTTTGCACGCATTTGTATGCGTATCGCTCTCTGATAGCTCGTTCGATTCCGCACGATTCAGAGGTATCACATCCGTGCCTCCCTATTCAAATTATCTTATAAATAAAATATATTTTCGCGATTGCTACATTATTAATTTCGTTACTCGTTTTACCTTTAAGTTAGACACATGTCCTTTACTCCAATCTTGTAATGTAACCACATTCTTCGTATCCGAATTATTTTCTTTACGCACAGTTCCCACGTTTAGATTATTCATCTTGTTTTCTTTGTTTTCCCCAATCATTTCAAAATCGTCGCCCAAATCCACGTACGGTAATTTATCAAGCGATTCATTACTCGGCGTGAGCTCGAACTGTGGACTATCGTCAATCATCTCCTTCACGCTCATATTGTTATATTGGGAGTCGTTCGAATCCGATTCGCTTAAATCTAGAGGAGGTAGTCGACCGTTGAGATTACGATTCACGGTTTCATCGCGCTTTTCGCCAGTTTCATCTTCACGATTTCGTTCGTTCGTAGAATCGTGCATTTCTTCGTTACACGCGACATTATTACCATCAACGAAATTTAAACGGTGCGTCACATTCTTACTCTCGCTCTCCTCTTTTACGACACCTTCGATATTTTCCTCGGTCTCTACTTTTCGTTTTTTACACGTAGGTGGAACACTTTCAATATTGTCAGTATTCGTTTTTTGCGAGTAATCTTGATAATCGGCAAACGAGATATCGCAATCCTCTTGTACTTCTCTTGGTATTCCATAAAATTTATCTAGATGTTTTTGTATTGTATCGAAAATCACATTCTGCGGATAGAAAAATGTGTAAAATAATGCACGATTCGTTGATAAGATGCGTATTACTTACTTACCTTCTCCTTAAAAAGAATGGTAGTTTTATTTGGCTCCAAATTAACGTCTATATTCGCAGCGTTTAGCAAGATGTATATTACAAATATTGGCTTCTTTTTCGACGACGGATCCTGTCCTATTCCTTCCATAATTATTTTACTCGCTATCTTTTCCAATTCTTTTTGTTTGACAGGTCTATCATTTACGAAAATGTATTGCGCGTCAGATTGTACAATGTCGGCTACGTTTGCCGTTTCTTTTGAGGGTACCATCATCTTAATTTTGATCTAAAAAGTATGGATAGATAGAATGAAATATATTGTAAAACGGAAACTATGAAACATAAATTATTGGTGATTACATCTGTATCTGTAACATCTATCCAACTCATGTTGCCTGTTACGCGTGTACCAAGAGTGTTTTGAACCGCCTCCTCGAGAGTATTCGCTCGAACTTTACTGAACACTATATTCTTATCTACTTTGAAGAATATCCTTACAGAATATTTACACATCGCATAGCTTATTATCATCGACTTCAATGCTTTAACGTCTTGGCTAGATTTTTTGGGGTTTTTAATTATTTGTCTCCTAACTGGTATAAGTTTGAATAGTTCCCTAACTTGAACGGTTGTTCCTACCGGGAAAGAGCATGTTTTAGAAGAAAAACAAGCGAGAAAATCAATGAATTTGAATCGTTCAGTTAGTTAATCGTCAATAATACCCGTGGGCCTATGGCACAATTCAGATTTTAAAATATTTCCGGAATGGTCGATAGTATAAGACGAGGCAACTTCGTCTTGTGCGGTCTTTGTGACGATAGTAACATCAGATATCGAACTCAACGCGTACAGGGCTTCTCCTCTGAATCCATAAGTTTCCAAAGTTTCTGAAATAATTGAAAAGCATCGGAAAATGCACAGGATCCTATTATGTATCGTCGGACAAATGATTTCTTTGGCATACCTAAATCAGAGAAATTTGAAAGTTTCGATGTGTAATTTTGTAAAGCCACGTACGGAGCATTGACTTTGGAAATCCCACAACCATCATCCTTTACTTCTATCAAGGAACATCCGTTGTCCAACTAGCGATTGTCATATCGATTATAAATATTAGAATTCTCGAAATTATATGTATATGTATGTATGAAAAAGAATACCAAATTAATTTCGATATTTTGACCACCAGCGTCCAGTGCATTCTCGATTAGTTCTTTCGTGGCGGTAGATACAGATGTTATTATTTGACTAGTCCGTAGGATTCTCGCGGTTTCTTTGTCTAACGCCGAAATAGACATATCATGAATGTGCTGTTGAATTTGAAAAAAACTGGAGATAAGTATTGGTAGGGATACGCGGAACTACTAGGACTACTAGGTATGCACCGAGTGCGTTGACGTTTAAAGATAACCTAACAGGTAGTTTCAATCTTATAAATGGCTCTAGGCCTGAAGATCGTTCCGCGATTTTATAAATAGATCTCTGGAGACTGTCAGAAATGCCAAATTGAGGATAGGAACCACGTTCTATCTTTGTATTGTAAAACAAATTATCTTGATTCGGATTAATAAAATGACTCTGCTCACGTTGAAATACAGGAACTATCGGAATTGGAACAAATAAGGAATGAAGTATCTGGAATGGAACAAGTGCCGGTTTATATTTTTATTTTAAAATACCACCTCTTAAAATACAATTTAGGAACAATTTACAAAATGTTATTTGTATTTGGCCAGCAAGGTGTCGACGAATTTAATGTAAGCTTCTTTCGCATCGTTTTGCGACGTGCCTTTTTTCGAATTCCAAGCGTCCCATTTCGCTTTCCCCTTCACGTCGAGCATGCCAGGTCTGGCTGCATGAAATCGAATAGCGATTATTTTTGCTTAGAGCTTCAAAAACTTGGCGAGTATACTTTCTTAATGAAAATTGAACTTGTGACTTACTGGTATTAATGTCGCCCACGGTTGCTTGCTTATATAACGCGTACAACTCTAAGAACTCTTGATCGGTGGGACGTTTCGTTAGAGTTTTCACAGCCTCTACAGCTCCTTCAAATTTCTATAAAGTCACGCATGTTCGATCATTCCTTAACATATTTATAGTATTTATTAATCGTCGATCGTTAAGTTTTCGTTAATGCTCGTTTTATCATCGATCGTTTAGGCTTCGTCGATATAATCGTGCACGAATACAAAGCGCATGACTGTGCAGAAAGCGATCGCAGTCTCATTAAGTACGCGTCATTAGCATACTTATTCCTCTTCCGGTAAGCATCGTCATTGCGCGGGACGTTTATTGTCGGACATAAAGTTAACGTAATCGAAATAATAACCAGTAATCACGCGTAAATAATAAAAGGAACGCGCAATTGCAACGGCAATAAATCTAATCGTATGAAATAATTAGAGGCATCAGAAGTGTCGAACAGGAAAGATTTTATAATAAGAGTGAATGGATATTTCTCAAAACAATTGATGCGCGCAAAGCGATGCAAATCCTATTCTCTATACTTAACGGATAATTAAAACAATTGGCGACAACGCTCGTTATTTAACAAATAGTTACCTGATCGAGAGACATGGTCTTATGCAGCCAAATGGTAGCTTCACGATTAACTACTGACAAACATGTTTGAATTTACATCGATTAAATATCCTTCGGTGTGCGGAGCCCCCACTTTTACACCAATCTTTATTTACGTAGGTACGTATCGGAGCGATAATTAAGATCATTAGATTACAAAAAATACTACACAAAAACGATCTAACAAATTCATTTTTATATCAATAAACATAAGATCGTACGATGGATAACTTTACATTCAGCTTCCCAATCCCGTTTTCCTCTTTCTGCCGTGTGCCAAAACGGACAGAAATTAAGTACTTGGTACGTTCGCTTCGTAAGTTTATGAATCCTTGTATCGATTACGCCAGTTGTTAATAAAGATTAACGATTCGAGACAAATTTCTCAAAAATTGGGGACACTTGAGGTTTACCGCATTCGACGTGGTCCAACGTCGAAAGTCGAGTACGTACGCTTAACGTACATCTGTGTGTGGAGTACAGATTACAGATATGTACATCATACATATATACACGAGAGACAACGGTCAGGAAGGAATGGGGCCAACCAACCGACCTGCCTGCTTGCTCGCCTGTCTGCCTGCCTGCCTGCCACATCATCATCCAACGCTCACAATCAGCTGCGCCAAGAATGTAGGAATTCCCGACCGAATTCGATGCTTAAGTATATAGGTATACATCGTTTTAACTCTCCATGGGCTCGCGCGATATGGGATGGGAATACCTGTCTCTCAGGGCCGTAGAACGTAGACCGCGACATACTATGACAGTCTGATCGACGATTTGGTCCACGATGACGTCAGTGACTAGCAATAGATGGTATCCACCACATTTACATTTATTCGATTTATACGTTCGTTAATTCGGGTTTCAAGTTCTACAAAATCGGATATGAAACAGCAGCTGCCGCTTCCGATATTTTCATATCTGTATCCACTCTAGCAAGAGGAGAATGTGCGAAGAAGAGAGGAGGGAAAGAGATGTAGAAGGACACGGAATGATACGAGGATGCGTTGCGGATGATACATAGAATTCAGTTGAATTGATGATACATCAAGCCGCATCCCGACGATCGAGGAAGCACGCTGCCAATCGCGTTTCCGTAATAAGTAAAAACGAAATTGCTGAACGAGCTGCGAGCAGTATGGTCAAAAGTAGAAACCAAGAGAGGGTAAGCGATTCAAGGAATACGGCAGTGGCCGTTTGCGAACGGTGGACGAGAACGAACGGAGGCGAACGATCTCAAGCGAATACGCGGGTCGCGTGGAGGCAGAGCTAAGCGGTTTAAAAATTCGCTGGAGTATGCGTGATTTGTCACTCGATCGGCGATCGGTTTGAATCGGTCAGCGGCGCTCAGCGGGGACGGCGACGGTACGAAGAGGAGTGAGCCGAGTATCGGAGCATAGGCGCGCGACCGAGCAGTTTCGTTGTCGCGCTTCATCCAGCGAGAGCGATTCCCAATACTTCTCGACGGAGCGAGAAACGTACAGCAACGTGCGTGGCCTTGTCAACGCTGTCGCGGCACTCGCGGCTCGGCTCGCGGTTCGCAGCCAGTGTAGAACGAGAATTTTTAGTGTATCTACTTAGGAACTGCGTTAAACGTTCGAGCGCGCAAACCGCGAATCAATTGTTTTTTAATTGACCTCAGAAGAGAGTAGAGGCTGCTCTCCGGAATTCGCGATTCGGTTATCGACACCTATCAGCCGTCATTCGCTGTCATCGAGAGTTTCTACTGCCAAGAGGGCACGAACTCGCGATAATCTACCGCCAAATCGCGTGGTTCTACCGTGGCCAGACGTCGATAACGTCCGATAACGGGCGGGTCGCGTTTCCCTGCTCGTTATCGCTGGCTCACCGAAACGCATTCTTGATTATGCGTTGGAATTCCGCGATCGCGCTGAAACGTCAGCGTCGAGCAAAAGGAACTCGATGTGCGTTCGGACAGGTTTCGATGAACGTATAACTTAACGGCGATCGAAGAAAGGATGAACATCTCGCCAGTAGCCAATACGAGTTTCCTCCACGGGGACCGGAAAACGTCCCCGGCATCGGAGAAAATTGTTTATGCGACTCTCGACAGTCTGGCCTTGAAGGGAACGACGTTACCTTTGCAATTGTACGATAACAACGTCAAGGCGGAAGGAACGGATGAGTCGAAGATATCGGGTTGCAAGGTTAATCGCCTAACAGATTTATTACAACAGCTAAATCTTTTTCCAAACATTCGTTTCGCGTTTCGCTCTTTCATTGCCTCGAATCTACAAATTTCCACAGTTTTCTAAGGCTCGACCCATCTGTTTTCATAATGAACAGTGCTTTTGAGTTTCACGAGTTACAGTTTTGCTTAAGATCAACGGATGCATACACTATTATTGGATGTATTAATATTTGTAGTCGATTGGATCCAACTTGATATACGAAGTCAACCGTGTACGCGCGCGTTTATTTGCTCTTCGACGATGGACCCGTTCTCCTTTTCCGCTTGTCACGACGCTTAGCAGCACCTCGTTTCGTTCACGCATATACGTAATTCAGCTTCTGGGAAACTTTTCTCCCGATCACCGCTGCACCGGGAGAAACCGGAGGAAAAGAAATCGTGACTCGCGCGACTTAACGCGGGACCGCCTTCGAAACAGTTAAGATTTCTATCGCATTCTTTGAAACCGTTTCCGCGCAACCGTTATGCGTGCCCTAGCTATGTAGGTACCCAGTATCTAGCGTAGTACGTATATTGGCGTGTACGTACTACGTGCCGCTGGCACTAGCGAACTAAATCGCGCGAAACGATTCCATTGGCAGGTAAACACGGCGCGGCTTTCGTCGAGGAATCGCGGAAAATACCTGCTGGCCGTCCCACCGTCGAAATCGAAAACTGAGACAGACACGAGAACGAGGCCCGAGCTTAATCCGCAGCCAGAGTCGAACTCGATTTCGCGGGAAACCAACGAGGATTCTGATATCGATGGACAAGATCAAAAGCGGAGCATTGTTTGCTCGCGTGTATACCACTGCACCGATAACAGTGATATCGATGTCAATTTCACGGAAATCGAAGTTAAAATGGATATCGAAGATACGCGCGAGACTGCGATTCGCTCTCCAGATATCGAATGCAGTTTTAACAACGTCGACGTCGGGAGAGAACCGATCGTTCTCGTCGGTTCGTCGGAAAATTTTCACGAGGAAACACCTTCGTCCGATTACGAAATAGTCGATTCGAACTTTTTCCATAGAGAATCGGGCGAAGATTGGAACCGAGATATTTTCGTGAAGTCTAAGTCTACCAATGATCTGGTGAGTAAAAATTATTCATCCGATTTGAGGATCAATGGTCGAGTATCTCGATTAGTGGAAACGCATTCGGAAGAGAAATTGACGGAAAGATCGATCTTTGGTAAGAAGTATACCAGCTGTGCGATAAAGAAAAAGCATTTCGCCAAGAACATGTTCCGTTTGATGCCGGAGTATCTCGGGTACAAGAAAACCGATGTCCCCATTGAATCTCCGAGCTCCTCGAGAACGTTATCTGGATTAGATATGAAAATGAATTCAAAGAATCAGCGTAGATCGAAGAAGAATCATTTCCGAGAGAATTTCAGTTGCTCGGACATCTCGTCACCGACGAACTTTGTTCACGTAGCATCCGCCACGAATCCGTCCCTGGTTTCGAACGAAAACGCGGTCAGGTTTAGTAATTTGGAGCAGATCGTGATCATGCACGAGCAAAAGTGTGCCACATTGCCTCTTCTCGTTGCGCACGATCGACGCGATGCCGATCGTGGGAATTCGGTGGAAAATCAAACGCAGCGACCGACGATCGAAGGAACGGCGACGAGCTCTCATGACTTCGACGCTGACGGTTCTAAAGACAAGTGTAAACGTACGTTCTCACGTTTCTCCGCGTTCGCGTACATATTTCTAGTTGGCCAATTAGAATTCAGCAAACCGCGATCCTCTCGCTCGTCTAATTAATTAATTAAAACGACACTCTCGAATTTCAGGCGACGCGTTAGACATCGCGAACTTGAAACGCGAGTTGTTATCTGAATTGCAAGGAAAAGTATTGGAAACGGGCCAGCGACAGGTGAAAACAAACGAACGCGAACAAGAGGAGAATGCGCGCGAAAGGAAAACGTGCGTATCGTCGTCGCGTGCCGAGGCACCTGTCAATTTTAGCTTTCTGTGGAGCGTTCGAAACAAGAATTTATCTCCGGATAGCTCACGATCTACACCGAACGAGAACGTCGACGCTATCGACGAGGGCGACGAGCAGTACGATGATGTGGGGCCCTTGCATTTGATATCAGTTCCGGTAACGATTATATTTAAATATTTGCTCTTTTACGCACGATTGGATGCGATACGTTACGCGTTAACCATGCTCTTTTAAGGATGTATTGGCTATATAGTCAATGCCAAAAGTTTATGTACTTTAGAAAAACGCATTTCTTATGATTAAAAATAGTGCATTTTTCTTCTAATTTCGATATTTAATGAGTTAAGTATGATTATTTGGCATTTTATTGATGTTGACAAAATCCGACCATTCCAGCGTCGAAACGGCGAACTTTCGGAAAAAAATTTCGTTTTCCCTCAATAACTCCTAAACCCTTGGAGATACGGAAAAATTGCATAAGACCTTTCTTGTAGAGGACGACGAGATCTACAATTTCCATATAAAAAGTTTTCGCTAGCGTTAATAG